ATTGATGATATCTGGCACTGATCTCAGAGAGGAGGTGAGAATTCAGCAGAGTTAGATAAAGCATTAACAGAAAGACACTCTGGCAATAAGCAGGGTCATACAAATTCTTACAAGATTCAGAAGAAGCAGTGGAAAAGAAGCCAGAGAGAGGAACCAAGACTCTGTAGAAACGCACTAGAGATGAAGCAGGAATATGACAATTTGGTTTCAGCTTCATCACTTACTAGCCATGAGACTTTGAGAAAGCCATAGTCTTCCAGGCATCAGCAACCTGCTCAGTAAAATGATCTTTTCATTACAGACCCACAGGGTTTGTCAAGAGACAAATGACATATGCGAGTCTTTTGTCCCTTAAATAAAACAAGGGGACATTATCACTGTATAGAAGGCATCACTCAACAGTTTATAAAGTATGGACTTTGTAGTAATATAGTAACAGTGAATATTTAGGCATGTCACAAACATGTCTACATCTGATGGTCATAATAAAACCTTGAAAGTTGGGCATTATTCTTCTCCTAAAAGATGAGGAAAATGACTCATGAAATACAAAATGTGTATTACACGTTTACTATAAATTCCCAATGAAGTATCTACAGAGCCTGTAGGACCAGAATTGCTAACTAAGCTCTAAAGATATTTCCATCAAAACTGAATAATGTCTCTAACCAGAGCTGTGCCTGATTCCTGCCCTGAAAAAGTCAACTGAGAGACCCACATCCTCTACGATGGTCATTGACACAGTACATTCTGACATGGTCCACACAGCATTGCTAGTGCATGAGGAGGGGAGAAAATAAGCCCATGGAGAAAATCTCACATGCAGTTCTTCCACCAATTACTGTTATATTCACTTATTTTGATAATTCTAAATAAAGCTGTCTACTTCTATGTGATATTCACCATTGCTGCAGGCAAAATTTTGCATGAAATGCTTGTCATTGTCCTCTCCTGGATAACAGGGAGCCTTATTCCAGTAACGTTCTGCTTGTACACGCTGTACTGAAACCCTCTGAGTTTTTGGATGAAGCAGGAGCAATAGCAATGGTTCCAAAACTCGTGCAATATCATGTCTTTGTAGGACTTGGTTCAGCCAGGCTTGTCCCACAGAGCTAGTAGAACCATCGAGACTGTTAAGGCTATCTAACATGATGAACAGTGACCTAAAATAAACACAAATAATTAAAATAAAGAACCAAACATCTACCTTGTCACACTCTTTTATAAAATCAATAAATTGGGTTTCTTACTTTGAATTAACTATTTTGAAGTAGTCATACTTCAGGATAAATTTTGATCATAGCATTTTAATAATCTTAATCCCAATAGTCTCAGTAGGCATAAGAAAGGAAAAAAACTTTTGCCCTTCTAAAAATATACTTATGCTTTGAAATTTCACAAGCATACATTACTAAGATTAATACTGAAGAATTGAAAAAAAATATTAGTCTTGTTTTAGCAACATTTTCCTGTTCATATTATCAAGCACTGAGCCTTCAGCAAGTCAGTATTACTCCATGTTGATCCATGTTCCTCTGCTCACACTATCCCTGTGAGTCAAAGCTATGTGCTTAATTCAAGGCAAAATCTGTGAATGGTATGAAAGTGTGCTTTGGAATCAGAAAAACCCAAGATTCAAATCTTTTGTGTGGTGTTTGGCAAGTAACAACTTTTCCTGACCTCTATTCCCTCACTTGTAAAATTAGGAAAGATAGTTGTCAAGTAAGAGATGATTATTTATAAAGTAAAGGTTCAATATATTCAATACACTGTAGGGGTTCAATATATGGTTCAGTATCAGATCACTTAAAAATGGTAATGCTGGTTGAAAAGCACCAGCTGAAATAACGTTCAGTAGAGGACAATTCTGATCCTGAGCTGAGCTTGAACACAGATTCATGGCCACCACTATGAGACCGGCTGGTGAGACTACCTTATGACAATATGTGAATCCACCTAAAAATGGCAGCTCCTTGGAATTTAATGCAGATCTGATATCTGAAGTCACCTATGTAGTCCAGACAAAAACCAAAACCACTCTCAGGCAGCTACAAGTTCTCTGGATTCATGGAAATAATTTGTTAGTGTTTTCGGCTATAGATTTTAACAAATCTAGTTTAGGCAGAAGATTGAAAATAATTGCTTGAGAAACACATAATCTACTATTTATATGCAGTTTCACTAAATGTGAATATAGACTCAAGAAAGCTGTATCCATTGCATTATCATTCTAAGTAATGCACCTAGAATGGTGCCTGACACCTCGTAGGAATGTGATAAATAGTTGTCCAAGGAAGGGAAGGGAAACCAGGTACTCCAAAACCAGAAAGTAAATATCTGGTGGATGAGTAAAAATGCCATGCATTTTAATACAGTTTATGGTTTTCAAAATAATAAATTCTCTTTATAAAATTTATAAATTGCTATCTCCTACACTTGCCAAGCTAGACAGTAGACTCAAGGAAAGAGGCAACATTAAGATATCTTACTGTGAAATCTTAATATAAAATATAACTGACCTGTCAAAAGAACGTACAAAAGATGAAGATTTATTTATATGGAGATCTCTCGTTAGATGCCAAAGAACTGCAAACTTGGCATGTGCTTCCATCCTTATTTTCTGAGGAGAAACATGGGAGCTTAAATTATGTTCTTCTCTCTTGAAGATACTAAGTGATTTTAGTAAAATCAGAGTACTATTTAGGAGTACTGTATTACGTTCAACGTCCACAATATTCAAACACACATTGCAATAAACTTTATTTCTATTCTTTATGGAAGTAGAAACACAGAAAATATGTAGATATATACAGAAATATTGAACTTAAAGGTTATCATCTCATCCTGTCTCGTAAATAATTATTCCTGAGTTTAGACTTTAAGTAATGAGCTTACTAGATTATTGTATAACAGAAGAAAAAAGTTACTAATGTACATGTATCTGGAGTCCAGAAGGCACTTCCTCCTTCATTTTAATATAAACATTTAGTTGTCAAAATTGATTTCATTGCACTATATATTTTTTGTCCCAGAAATGATACATTAATCCCAAATGAGTTTTTCATCACTTATAAGCTGGTTTGACTCAAAAATTTAAACACTTAAAAATTATTTCTACAATAAAAATATCAAACTACTTTTGAGATTATTTGGAAAAAGATTAATAATGGGTAAAACAATGTAAAAATAAATTATTTAGAACAGCAAGCACACTTGGTATTAGATAATAAATATGTATTAATATAAATCAAGTAGAAATTGTCACATTATCAAAACTTTTGAAGTCTTTCTTTAGCATTTATGGATCCTTTAAGCAAAAGCCCCAAGAAACCAGACTGCAACTTCCTAAATTGCTTGTGATAGTTGGGAGGCATGCTTGTTTTTTCTGTGAGATTAATACAGGCTTTTCTTACGAACCCTGCATTTGTATCAACCAACAGAAATGTAAAAATTAAGTAGTAAAATATATTTTAATTTTTTTCATGGATGTATATATTTATTTAGAACTTGGGAGTATTTCTTTAAAAATGAAATGCTACCCAAGTGAAAATAGGCATATAATTTGTCCTAGATTTATATTTAATGTAAAACTTAAATTGTTAGAATAGAGTGTTTCCCTATTATTTCTGAATAATTTTGAAAAAAAATGTGTTATAGCAGAAATAGATTTTTAACATTTTTCTTGGAATAAACTTTTCATTCCTTTCATTTACTCCTTCATATACCACTTTCTCCTCTGCCAAATGTTTATTTAACACAATTCCTTTTTTGAATATGACCCACTCAAACATACTAGCATTTTGAGTTTTTTAAAAATAGGACAATATACTTCTAAAAGGTCTTCAATCAAATCTTCTATTTATATTACAGAGCAGCACAGGAAGACCACAAACGTCATTAAATTACCCTGATGAGGTTAGTCAAAATGATTATTCCAGCTTCTTCTCAGGCTAACTGAATTATATATCACACTTCATATATATTAGAATACAGAATTCTTATTTTGGATATGTAGTATAATAATGCAAATAATATAATCTCACATATTAGTATTCTATAGCTTATAAATATAATTTATACATTATTTCATTTCATATATATTAGTTAATAAATCCATAAGTTCCATAACTGAGGCCACTGGTTCCTCTTTAAATGACCCAAGAACTGGGACCACCAATACTAAACATCATTTCCCATAACTGTGTCCTGAACAAATAAATAAATCCAGCATTTGATTTTTGTTTTACTTTTCATATTACTGATGCTTTTGTAAACAACTTTCCTTTAGAAAGAGTTGAATACATTTATTTTAAAGATATTAAGATCACTGTGAACAAAGCTATTTTCTCTTACTCCTATGTTAACTGCAATAATTTCCCTAAAGTTTTCTTAACTTACTTTTTAGTATAATGTGTGTGTGTGTGTGGGGGGGGGGGCAGGGGGCGGGGGGGGTGTGCACAAGATAAGAAGAGGATTTACCTTATCTTTATGGGTTAACTGCTGACTTATAACATCCTCACAGATGCTAGAAGAAGGAACTAAGTTATGTAATTGATAAAATAGTTCCACACTCTTCTGGTGATGCTGAGGTGTCCCATCTCCCAACTGGTCCCACAATGTTAAAGCTACATGCTATAAAAAAGATGTAAAAGTGACAGTCACAATACCATACATGAAAATTTATTTAACAAATATTTCTTATTAGGTATAAATGAATGTCTGCTCTCTGTCAGATCTGTAAGGTTTTTAATATTCTATTCTATGGGGATGAGGTTACTAAGTGCAGTCTTCCATGTACCTACTTTCTGATCACCCAAGCCCTTGGAACCTTTTATGATAGTCCTGTAATGATATTTGTTTTTAGACATCAGGCATGTTGTCTGGACATGGTGGCTCATGCCTGTAATCCCAGCATCTTGGGAGGCCGAAGCAGGAGGATCACCTGAGGTCACGAGTTTGAGACCAGCCTGGGCAACACGGCGAAATCTTGTCTCTACTAAAAATACAAAAAGTTAGCCAGGCATGGTGGCATGCACCTGTAATCCCAGCTACTCGGGAGGCTGAGACAGGAGAATTAATTGAACTCGAAAGGCGCAAGTTGCAGTTAGCAGAGATTGCGCAACAGAGCGAGACTATATCTCGAAAAAAAAATCAGACATGTGAATGTTTTCTGCAGGGCCCAGGTAAGACCCCATTTCATTATTTAGTGGTGTTAGTAAAGTGATGCTAGAATAAACTATCCTTAATAAGATACAAATCCCACATTGAATGCAATTTAATATTCATGGTTGTATATTACAGAGTGAAAAGTAATTCATAGTTGAAATATCCAAACTACTTGAAATCTATAAAATAGATAATAGGTATTTCAGAGCTACATATGTTAACGCAGCACTTGATCTGTAACAGCATTAATAATAATGCAATTAGTAATAATAATAATGCAATAATCTTCAGGATTCACTACCACAATATTATAAAATCCAACTCTAATCTAGCAGGAGGAAATATCTGAAGGGGCACAATGACTTGAAATCACATTTTAAAACTTTTTTTTAACGTACAGTATAAAGAATCTACCTGCTTAAGATGTATACAATCCAAATCTACTTGATGTTCGATATAGAGGATAATATTTATACCATTGGGGTAGAAATCAAAGACTGAGTTTTCTGAATTTTTTTCTGAGTGACTTTATACACCACAGATGATAATGAGACAATATGACGAGTCAGAAAAACTTTTCATGAGAGTTTTGGAGTACTAAGGTTTTACTGCATGAAAAGCAAAAGTGCTGCTCACGCCTGTAATCCCAGCACTTTGGGAGGCTGAGGCGGGCGGATTACTGAGGTCAGGAGTTTGAGACCAGCCTGGCCAACATGGTGAAACCCCGTTTCTACTAAAAACACAAAAATTAGCTGGGCATGGTGGCACACGCCTGTAATCCCAGCTACTAGGGAGGCTGAGGCAGGAGAATTGCTTGAGCCCAGGAGGCAGAAGTTGCAGTGAGCCAAGATCGTGCCATTGCACTCCAGCCTGGCTGACAGAGCAAGACTGTCTCAAAAAAAAAAAAAAAAAAAAAAAAAAAAAAAAAGCAAAAGTGTCACAACCACTTAATCTGAAAGTAAGTTCTACTGTTTTCCTCTTTTTAGCTGAAATTATTTCCTACATGGCTTCAGTGCCCTAATACTTCTCTTTATCCTAATATTACTACTCCTTTATTCTTATTTTTCTCCCCGCTCACAAAATTGGGAATAAGATGGGGAGAGCAGTATGTCTATCAGCTGTGGCATCATTTTCTATATGGCAAGACATATTAAGAGGTGTTTAATGAGGCTTTATTATCATTTTAAAAATAATCCTTAAAGCAAACTAGGTCAAGTATCATACATGGCTGTAATGATCATCGTCATGTATGCATTTCTTAGAATTTACCTTGAAAAATTCAGTCTTCTCAGCTATGTACCTCAGATTGCCCTGAGTGAGGGGAGGTCTAATAACCACAGCTACTCTTCCCTGGTTTGGACTTAAGGGTTGTGCAGGCTCTACACTGTTGATGTTTTCCCCAGTGACCATGGCCACAGACTGTGTCAGTCCCACCAGGTCCATGACTAGTGAAATAGCAACACTCTGAACACTGAAATCACTTGCTTGGCTGCAAGCATTCATCAGAGTCTGGAGCCACTGTGGAGGCTGCACATGCTCACAGTCTGAAACAAAAGATGGTAGCAATCAGAGTTCATTATACTAAACATTTCACACACACTCTAAGTTAATTTCAAAAAATAAAGCCACTAAATACTTTTAAGGCCTTGATCTGTTAACAAAACCATGGTTTCTCACCTAGTCTAGAGCTTTAATAAAGTAGCAACAGTAATTTATTATACTTTTCTTCAATATATATTTTTCTTATGCCAAGTCATACAATCTATTATCCCGTCCCAAAAAACAGTATATTGATCAATAAACATTATGTAGTATTCACTGCACTGTGTGTGTATATATAAAAATCAAAATAAAAGTAAACATGTTACTGGTCATAACAAAGAAAACCAGCAGATCTACTGCTACACTACTTTTCCCCAGAGATTTCCATTTCAGCTCCAACTTACCTGCAAGCAAACTGTGAACGACATCAGAATCACAAAATCTTCCAATATATCAATCTCCCCATAGTGACAGTATTCCATTTAAAAAACAACTTGCAAATTAAAACATTAAAAAAAAGTAACTGGCTAAAAAAATCCGTTTTAATGAATGCCTCTTTTAAAAAGAAAAAACATACTACAGAAAATACTGAAATATAAGCAAAACTGAGATGACCTTACCAGTCTCCAGTTTTTCAGAACGTAACTCTGATGTATGGTTCCCCTCAGCGATGTAAACTGGGAAACTTGAGCACTCTAGGAAGAGCTGACAGGCAGCAAGGAAGGCAGAAAGGTATTCTTTAGAAGTTTTTTGTTTACTTATGCTTCTCTCTTTTACATCTCCTTGTGAATTTCTGTCCCATTTTGAAGTCTCTCCTTGTTCTCGACCAAGATCCCCCTGATGTTCTGTAGTCAAAGCCTGAGAAAGAGAGTTATTCTGAATGATGTAGAGGTTGATAAGTCTGGTAAGAAACTGTTGGACATACTCCAAGCAGCACTGCATTGCAGTCTTTTGGGCTGTCTTCCCACTTCGGGTTGCTGTCCCCTGAGTGACTACGGAAGGGGTCTGGATGATGGTTTCTTCAGATCCCACAGTGGATGCTGTTTCTGTTTCAGAGGATGTGCTACCAATTGGGATGGTAGCTGCCCCCTGGCCCTCACTCAGTTCTCTGTCAATATCATCAGTTCGGTCTGCTTGATATTGTATAAACTCAGTGAATCCACTCTCTGATGATCGACTACTTGGTGGATTTTCTCCGTCTTCAAACACTTCAGTAGGATTTTCATGAGAAACTGATGATATCTGTTAGAGATTTTTAAGAAAGCAAAAGGCTGAGTAGCAAAGTGTACATATTAGGAATTAGAAATGACCACTTTTGAGAGATGTTTTAGACTATTCACAATTTAATCTACCCATTCTGTTGACTCTAACAGCAACCCCTACACCGATTTATTCATTCTCCAAGTATTTATTATGCACTATACACACAGCATACATAAGGTTAGATTCTTGAGAACAAAAATACATATATAAAAGTCTCTAGGATCTATATCCTTGTTTTCAAATGGTTATTTCACCTACTTCATGAAATCACTTTCCTAATGTCTAAAAAATGCCAAGAATGAGATATGTAAGGTTAAAAAATGACATTTTAATAACTACAAATAAAATCGAATAGCTCATCTGTTCAGGGCCACATGAATGTGAAATTTTTATTGAAATGTGTAAAGTGCTAATTAAATATTTGTCTTTCAGTGAATAGTTATCGAATTCCTATCATGGTGCCAGACACTGTATTAGGTAGTAGAAATAAAAGGAATATTTTATAATCTAGAGGGGAAGATGAGAGACAATTAAATTACAATAAACAACAAATGAACCGGTCCCTGAAGTAGAACTGGAGGGTATTAGCCTTTTACTCCCTATAATAGGATAGAGTAAGTATAAATATCGAGGATATTTTCTGGCTTAATTTAAGTAAAAGTTATATGTAAGAATTCCTTGGGTGACTGAGTCAGAATATAATAGCATCATGAACTAAATGCTCTGTTGCCCAAAGCTGGGCTTCGCCTAATGTTCCTTGCCTCAGTGAATGACACTTTTCCTTGAGTCAGGAAGACAGAAACCTAGGGATCATTTTTTGTACCTTCTTCACCCCTCCTCCCCTCCCCACTTTCATATCAGTAGAGGCATTAAGGGTGCAGGCCTTGAGTCAACTAGGGCTCTGCCATTCACTAGTTATGTGATACCTGGCAAGTTATTTAACTTCTCCAAACCACCGTTTCCTAATGTGTATAATTGAGGGACAGTAATTCCTACATTTTACAATTGCTATGAGGATTACATAACGGTATATATAAAGCACATGGCAAAATGCCTAGCACCTAGTAAACACTCATGGTTAGTGATCATTACCTTTATCAATCTATTACTAAGTCTATTTTTCCTCCTAAATATATTGCTAATCCATCGATTTCTATCTTTACTCCTCGTATCTTGTTGGCACAAGTTATCACCACCTCTCACCTGCGCTACTATAGGTCTTCCCACATCTGTTTTTGTTTCTCATCTACATTTCACACTGCAGCCAGAGTAACTTTTCTAATACACAAAAGTAATTATGCCATTTGCCTTTTCCCCTCAGGGCCTTCCTGGTGCTCCTAAACAACAAAAGCCCTAGAACAGCTCAAGGCCCTCTAAGACCTGGCCTCTGCCTATCTTACAGCTGCATCTCTTGTCTGCTTGGTGCTTGTCTCTGCCTAAGAGCCTTTGCAAAATCATAGCTGAGAAAATTATGACAGTGAACGATATCAAACCTAATTGACCTCATCTTGCTTCTGTCCTCTCAACTGTCCTTGTTCATTCCTGGGTATAGGCTGAACTAGCCTTGGGAAAGAATTTAGTTTGTAGTTTAAAGCTAAACTGTTCTTATAAAACAAATGAAAGACCACCAGCTACCAGGTTAGAATGAGAGGAGCTGGAATTCTAAATATTACCAGCCATTATTCCAGAGGTCATAAGATTTTCAACTTCCCCAATTACTCTTGTAGGTAACATCACTATGTGAACCTAAGATCACCCTTTTGATGTCTTTTCAGGTTTTTGCATTTCTAACAACTGAATGGCCTCACCTGGACCTGCCAACCAGTTCTGTGGCCCCCACCCAGGAACTGATTCAACATAAAAAAAGCTTCTACTCCCTATGATTTCATCCCCAAGCCAACTAATCAGCACTCCCAATTCACTGGCCCCCTACCCACCAAATTATCCTTAAAGACTATGATCCTCAAGTTTTCGGGTAGACTGATTTGGGCAATAATAAAACTTCAGTCTCCTACATAGCCGGCTGTGCATAAATTACTGTTTCTCCATTGCAATTCCTCTGTCTTGATAAATTGGCTGTCTAGGCAACAGGCAAGGTGAACTCGTTGGGCTGTTATACTTCTTCCTCTGTCAGGTGCTCTCTTTTTACCTCCCTCACCACACCAGTTCCTCTAGGGCTTCACTCAAACACACCTTCCTCAAGAAAGCATTCTTTGGCCCCAGCGTAGGTCAGGTCACCCCATTTTCCATATTCCTACCACTTGATTATTTTCCTTTGTACATTTATCACAACTGTAATTAAATGTGCACTTACTTGTATAATATTTCTACCAATTAGAAAGAAAGGACAGAGAAGGGGAGAGACTATGTCTAGCTCACCACTGGATAGCCAGCAACTAGCACAGTGATAGCAGCAGGAGACAGACAAATCCTAGGCAGCCAGAGACAGGTCCCCGGTGAAACCTCACATTCAAGCCAAAGACAGTTTAAAGCCTAGCTACAAGTCCTGCATAAATCCACAGACCAGATTGAGACCCTCTCTTCCCATTTGGCACACTTTCCTCTGATTGATCCCCACTCTTCACCTATTTTACATATACCTACCCTTCCCTAATTGGTTATTTATACTGTTGTGCTCACCTTTGAGTGGTGCCTTTGTTTTAGCCTCTTTTGTGTACTCACAAACCAATCAGCACAAAGATGTGCTGTAAGTGTAAAATGCACACTAGATCTTGAAGACAGTACAAAAAAGAATGTAAGCTACCTCACTTATTTATATGACATCAATTTTATATAGATTACATTGAAATGATAATATATTGGCTACAATTGTCTGAATAAACTAGAATTAAAATTAACTTTACCTGCGTTTTACTTCAATGTGGGTACTAGAAACTTTTGAATTACATATGCCATTCACATGATAACTTTTACTGGAAAAGTACTGATATAGATAATTAAACTGCCCTATAAGCAAAAGCCTACAAAAGCCTACTAACATTGCATTTGGATCTAGGAAAGACTCACTATTATTTAAATGCTTACGTATAAGTGATTTTACTAAGTAACTTCTGCTTTGAAGAAATGTAAATGGTCTAATACCAAAAATAATAGTTAAAATTACCTTTTTGTCTTCCCATTCTTTCACTGAATTGCTCTGCCCACTTGGAAACTGCAAAACACCTCCAGTGCTAGCAGATAACAGTGGAGGCTGAACCTTGCTAAGGATCTTTGAGCAAAGTCTGAGAGAATATGTGAGTTCAGACAAGTGCAATGTCTGGAGATGGCTTGTCAAGGCAGAAATCATTCTGAGCAGCAACTGGGGCAAGTGTTCTGTCTGGATTTCAATATAAGTCTCCTGAAAACAAAAGTGAAACGAAAAAAGTTTAAACAATGTGGAACCCAAAAGTTACATTTTTAAATCTATATATAAATAGGCAATAATTTTACTCATCTGTAATGTTTTATACGCATCATGCTGTTAACACTGTGTATTTTATTACTGATGCCTTATAAATTTTCTATTCCCAAATTCTCAATTTAAATACTTCAAAGCATGTATTATAAAATAACCCCAGTTTTATCTGCTATATTACTAAAATTATAATATAACAAAAGTAAATAGAATTATTTAAAAACAAAACAGGCTGAATGTCATACCTGACACAGCACCCTCATACTTCTAGTAGGCTTCAAAATGAGAAAGCAAAGAAGTGAGGAGAGAAAACAGAAGGGAAAAGATTTCCAAGTCTTCATTTAATAGAAATAATATTAATATAAATGCAGCATTAGACCACTATACACTAAACAGTTAAGATTTTATAACATGCAATTATGAAGTTTACCCCATGTATTTTTTATATGTATATGTCAAAGGAGATAACACTTGAAAGATTTTATGAAAAAAAGCTTACCAAAGAGGAAAAAATCAATTTAATTTTAAAGATGAAATGTATCTGAAGGCTTGCCTACAACATGAAATATTTGAACTATGTTATTAGATGTCCTTGATATTTTCTTACCAAGGTGGTCTTACCAAAGAAACTATGTCCAGTAAAAAATCCACCAGTAAGCAGAAATTGGTCAGCTGTAATTCAGATGAGTCATTACTATCTCCAGGTCCAATCTGAAGTCTGGCATGCAGTGTCCTCCTAAAAGGATGAAATTTACTTTATCAAGTATACTGTCAAGTGATGTGAATACCTGTGACAGCATCATCATCCTTCTAATGAAGGCCAAGTCAATACTGGGTCACACACAGTAATGTTTTTGTGATGACAAATTCTATTTCCCCCAGGACACTGTACCTCTTCGTGGAAAATTCCCAAAGCAAGATACCTAGGCTGAACCTCTCCCTACAACTCCTATCCTGCACTTCGAAGTGTTCTGAATGGATCTCACTTTCTCGGACTTATTTCCCATTGCTTCCTGTACAGATAACACCTCCTAGTTAACACTGATTAATTGCTACTTAATTTCTAACCTTGGGTCTTAAAATAGGCTCATTTGTCCTTCTGTACTACTGCCCTCCCCAGTCTCATTTTTCCCATGATCAGAATGCATCTGTCCTTCAAAGTCTGAGATCAAATGTTACCTCCTCCAGGAAGCCTCTTCTGATCCAAGTAGCAGAGATCATTCCTCCAACAAACATTCACATTAAATCATAGAAATCCTATATGACCATACATTGCCCTCCACTCTGAAGACACAAAGAATATAATATAGTCCCTGACCAACAAGAATATAAGCATGTAGACAAATAAATGCAACAATGTGACAGTGTTGGCGGCATCGATTCTGATGGGAGATTTGAGGGAAGGAAGGAAAGGTGGGTAACCTCTACATAGGATTTTAGCAGATGGGCAAGGGGAAAGAGTACTTTAGAAAGAATAGCACAAGTGAAGCCTCAGCAGCATTAAAGTTAACATGCTGCTAACTTTCAGAGAATAGTCCAGGTTGGCTGAAGAAGTGTGGATGTGTGCATTTGTGAATTTGTAGAAGGTAAAAACCCAGGGTAGGGTCAGGTGACAAAAAGATACGATTCCTACATTTTAATCTATTAAGACATTTGTATTTTTTAATACTAGGAATATATACATGCATGTCTTATTTGTTCCCACTACAAGATCTTTGAAGACAGGGACTGTCTATCTGCCTAGCATGATGCTTTTTAACTGGGTGCTCAACCTCTGCTGAATAAGTCAAGAACTTTCTAAACCATTAAAGAGATTAATGTATAGGAGCAACACTTAACATTTTTTATTAAAAGACTTCTAATGCCCAGATCATATATAATTACATTTTGACTACATGCTCCTGGGCCTTGAGTGGTTAATCTGGTTGAGAGGATCTGGTCTAGAAGCCAGAGATTCCACTCAGATTCACTAGTAGCCAAGGGTTTTCAGACCATATTTTTTGCTTTATTTCCTAAGGGGTAGAAGGCTTTTATCACTGCCCAGTGACAGTATGGATTAGTTCTAATGGCTTCTAAAAACACAAGTCAGGCCAAAAAGTTTTTTGTTAATCAAAATGGAAATCCTTTTGGAAAAGTGTGCTGAGGCAGCAGCCCAAAATTTGCTGTCTTTTCTACAACAATGAAAAACTACATTACTATAGACTGAAGAGGGAAAATTTTTAATCTACTCTGGTGTATGAATAACTGATCTCTAAACTCCCAATTCTAAGAGAATATGATCAATGATTTTATATCCTATGTGACAAGGTAGAGTCAGATTATGAATAATAAGTAACTAACAATTATTAGTAATAGAATGTATAAAAGAACATTCATTAAATTTAATAACTTAAAAAAACCCAAAGGTTAGCTTTGGATGTTACTAAATTACAACGAATGAAAGTTTAACGTACCTACAACATTCTTCAAACCAACGTGCAACATAATCCCACATATAATAAGGTTCGAAGGAATTAAACAGAAGGTTAGCAGTTTTAATCAACTCTGCTGTTTTCTTATTTTCTCTTAATTTACTGAAAAAAGAGAAAACAAAACAAAAACTAAAAAATATTAACATTTATTTTTTCAAATTTAAATTTGAGTGCAATGCCAGTACACATTCCTAGGTAGTTGCTAGAAAATGTGCTAGTAAGAAGATTGCAACAAATAATTTTTATCTACTGCCACTCTTATTATTTTTTGTGCAGTTATTTTTCCAAATTTGAATTTCTGTCACTCAAATATCAAGATCAGAAATTAGACTTTCATAGTTTCTGCATAATAAAAAAGACAAAAGAACAAGAATTTCTTTTTGAACTATTTAGTGCGTAAGACTGTAAATTTGGCAAAATTCTTTTATTTCCCTTGGCACATACAAACTGAGTAGTGATTTGATTTTCACAGCCTTGATTGTGAAGAATTTTGTCTGCTTCCCTGTGCTATTCAGGATTTTCTTAAGAAAAGTTTATTTTGACCAGTTTCAATCAAATTATTATTCTTAGTTTGAAAAACAACAACAAAACTAACTAGTGCTGTTAATAGCCATTATCACTGAAATTGCATCGGGGAAAAATAACTTTGTTATTTCAAGTGGCAACCCTTTAGCCGATTAGCTATTTTCTCCTCCTGTCTTTTGTAACAATTAAAACAACTGTCTTTATATAGTGAGGTACTGTCAATACAACTAGTATGTCAGTATTACATCAGCTTTACTAGTATTAAATCAGCCTTACCTATTAGAACACAAACTTCATAGAGTAGGATCCCAAGTTATTACACTTCAAGTTTATATTAGGTGAATACATATTATGTCTTCATGTCAAATTTAATTTTTTGATAATCTACCTGCTTAACTGAGCATGATCCTTGCTGAAGGGTGGTTCTGTTTGAAGATCCAACTCTGCTTTGCATTGAGAATATAATGTTCTAAACACTTCAATCAGGACATCTTCTAGAATTACAGGTCCTAAAATTAATATTCAAATTAAAGACAGTAATTAATCAGCATGAGAAAATCATGCTTATCTGAAAATTGGCCCAATTAAACGATGTTTTAAAAACAAGTATTTTTAAAATAGTATTTCTTCAGAAGCTAAGCTAAATTCACATTTCTTTGAGAAGGTAATGTAAGATATTACATAACTGAACAAATATTTAAAGTGCAGATTGACACAATAGAAATTACAGAATCAGAAAAACTGGTTTTGCCACTTAATAGTTCTGCTACATTAGACAAGTTATTTAACTTCTTTGAGCTTCAGTTTCCTCATCTAGAATGAGGATAATACCGAAATTTACAGGACTGTTAAGGGTTAGAAAAAATATTTGTAAGATTGCTAGCATAGTTTCTAGAATATAATAAGTATTAAACAAATGCTACTTGTAATTACTGTTATTAATTTAAATAATACTAAAATGCATAAGGCTAAATTTTCTTGCTATTACAGATATCACCTCCTTAAAAAATTCCTGAGCTTCATCTGTTATCATATAACAGCAAAAAAAAACCTCTCAAGACCATTTATATAATTCAAGTTATTCTTATATTTTAAAGTTTTCATTTTTAAGAAATGGTGAGAGGACACCTGCTAAAACATCTGTATATAACTTGAAGATATTACATACTTTATGATTTCATTTTATTTTTGCAAATATTTATGTTTTTTCCTAATTTCTGTCTCAAGTGCCATAATATATAGGAAATATACAATGAATAAAGAGAAAACATGCAAAATAAAGGGAATGTGGAGAAGAAAGTTGAGGGATATAACTCAAATATTTTTCATCAAGTCCTTGGATTCTGTGAACTATAAATTGGTCATGATGGATAAATGTTTTAATTTCAATAATATAATCAGGATTAAGAGAAGCTTAGATAGCATCTTTAAAGTGATTCTTCTGCTA